CGTTCGCATTGCCGCTTTCCTGTATTCATGAACCAGAGCATTAGAGTAGCTTGCATTCTGATGATTTCCCAAACATAACGCATCGTTAAACACATTTGGAAAAAGTAGACGTTTGGGAACTCATTTTACTCATTCACAAAGTTATATAGCAATCCCGAAATTTTGGAAAAAAGTGCCGAAGTAAATGGCAGAAAACTTTTGCGACAATCTTTTACTAAGTTGTAACTCATGGTATCCAACGCATAGACTGGAGGTCAAAATGTGGGAAAATTAAGATTGAAATTAGATTAAATTTATCCTTCACACTGCAACAATTTTAACTGGTTTTTAAATTGCGCTACGATTTGGTTCAGTATTCGTGCTTGCAAGAGGAAGATTAGGAAGATGTAGCTTCTGGTTCGTTGGAAGTAGTAGGTGTCTGCATTGCTAGCTTTTGTAAGAGGTAATTTAGGGAAATAGTAGGTTCTGGTGCGTTCGCAGGTCAGCAACGAAACAAAGTAACCTAGTTTCCTTGCATATGTTATTCATCTTGAAATGAATCTTAGCTCCTTCTGCCACGGTTTTATTATGCAACCAAACGGTATTCAATAATGATTCCACAACAAAAGTAGGTGAGACTGTTTGTTCTTTTACAACCAGTATTTCCATCCTTTTTTGGTCTTAGTGATTTAATTTAAGGCACCTTGAACACACAGGAAGAATACTTAGTGACTTTGCTCGTTCAAGATAAAGAGATGCTACCAGATGCGCCTTTTAACGTTGATTTCAAATTCGACTCCTAGTATTCGTTAGACAAGTCTCTGAAGAAAAATAAAGTTCATTGTCGTAAAAAGTAGCGTGCGCAGTCTGCGAGACAATGCTTGAAAATTCAAAATCAGAGGAGGAAGCCAACTATTTTTTGTTTGTTTGTAATTGCCCATTAGTTGAGCAAAAAAGGCAACTCATGTACGCTATTTCTTGGGGAAAGAAACCACTTTCAGATAATTGTTTGGCAAGTAAGAAGGCTGATTCTAATCAGCGTTTTGAGCGCATCTATTGTTTTCCTTTTTATTTTCAATAGCCGGGGTTTTTAAGTATCCTGCCATAGATTGAGTTAGTTCTTGAGTAAAGGCCTTCCACGTCTACGGTAAGGCCTATACTCAAGAATGGACTTTTTGCATCAAGTTAATTACTGCTTGAAGAAGCGGCTATGGCGCTTGCGTCGCATTGGCATTAATTCAAATATAGCTTTAACTGGAACTTTCCGATAACATTATTTAGTGCGCCTAGGTCAGTTAAGACGATGTCATAGGATTTTTACCAAAGGTAGCGCCGAAGCCTACTATACTCCACATTATAGTCCTACAATAATCCCCAAGGTAATAGGATCAGTTTTATTGGGAAAATCTAGGCCAAGCTAACTCTTCCAATTGAAGGCCTTAAAGGTTTTTACTAAAGGCAGCGCCGAAGCCTACTACTCCACGCTATGTCCTGCCAGGGAAATCTAAGTCAAGCTAGCTCCTTCAAAGGAAGGCCCCAAAGATAGTAAAAGAGATGTTAGCAATTAAATAATCGAGACCTTTTTTTGGGGGATACCCTGTATTTTCGTTTCTATTTCCAACGATTTCTTTATTCAAATATTGTTGAGGGGTAATGACGACGAGTGGCTAACGGATACAATCGAAACATTGTACGCAGAAAAGCTTCGTGAGGACAGCAGCAGTAGTACCAAAAGGGGTGCCGAAAATCATTCAGTCATGACGGTACGAAAATTTTGAAAATTTACAACTACAGTTGATAACTCCTTTTCTTCAATTTTTCTAGAAGTGGCGCCGCGCCCTTGCACATGTGGCTAATTACTGCATTGAGAACCGAATGAAGACACCGCTGGGAAAGCCAATGGATACTTTCAACAAGATTGGAGGTAATCAATCTATCACTACAAATTCTTTCTTCTCGCAAATCTTCTTCTGGGAATGGAGGGGGAAAAGATCTAAAAATAAATTTGAGGTGAGTTGCTGCGACTGGCTAAGGAGGCTATGATGACATCTTCGGCCACTGTGAAATCGTCCAGCAGTTCTCGCGGAACTGCGTCATCTGCTCGTGAAAAATCTTCAAAAGACGAAGAAGATGGTTTAGATATAGGAGAACCAAGGTTTTTTTTTATTTTCTCGCATATGCATCCTCGGATCAAATAAAACCACACAACTATATCTTTTCGAACTGCAATCATCTGTCATTTGCTTAGGGTCATTTCTGCAGCAGAAGAATGGTGGCGTGTACGTTGTCTTCTAGAGTTTGTTGAGGTACGTTTTCCTTTGCGTTCACACCAGTTCATGTTTCTCGGCTTTCAGAATTTAACTCATTTTATGTTCTAGATACTTGAAAAACTTATGTACTATGTTAACAACGGAACAATGTTTCCAATTTGCAACGTATCTGTGGTTAGTGCTGTTTTACCACCATACTACACAGAACATCTTTTTTATACGCCTTGCAATCTTTTTCTTGTAGTTGTCTCGTCAGTTTTTCACCACAAATATCGCCAGTTGTCAAGAATGGCTGTCAAGAATCTACCCATTTGCAATGGTTGTTGCCTATCACAACGGATATTATGCACAGGTGAGATGCCCTCTTACATACCCATAGGCCTTGGCGCGAGGTCTCCGGTTGGATTGTATGAGAACGAATATCCGTTTAAAAAACCTTTAATTGTGAGGCCTCATTTGTAACCTATGAAGCCATGCAAATAGGGCAAATACTGCAAGGATGTTTGATTGGAGCGCGTTTTCTTCTTTAAGTTGGAAAAATTTCAAAGCCCTAGCTAGGGAAGGAGAAAGGCTTTGATCTGGTGATTGCATGTTAGTTGGGTCAAGGTGTGCTTAAAAACTGTTTGATTTAAGGGAAGTAAAATGAGGAACAAAAAATTGTTTGCTAATAGGAGACCTGAGGTCTCGTGTAGGTCTTCGCAGAGACCTAAACCACGAAAAAAAGACGCGTAAATTTTTTCCTCTTATAGGTGTTCGATTTGCAAACAGCCCTATAGCTCCTTGGCGCTCTTCTACCAAATAGATTGTTCATCGGCTCCGTTTAAAAAATTGGTTTTTAGCGAAATCTTAGAAACGTATTTGATTTCCTCGCGCGGATACGTTCTTAATGTAGGAGCAGGTTTGTGATCTTGTTATATGTGTTAGGTAGTTATGGGTACAGTTGTACAGTAAATATGGAAGCCGAAAACAGAAGGAGATCTTAAATTTGTGGATCCATACGATTTCTCTCCTGCGTTTCTCCCTAAGAGCAATTTCCAGCTTGCCCTTCGGAGACTGTCGCTGAGCTCTGCATACCCTTGTATATATTTGTGGGACATTTCGGATATATGTAGTTTTTTTCTGAGATGTATTAAATGCAAAAAGTTATTAAATAAAGAATATATATAGAAAATATACTCATTCTGTATTTCTTCACTTCTTCAAAAATTATTCTAGGTTATCCGCTTCGGCGCATCGGCCTTGATTGACTTGGAAAAAAAGCAGGCGAAAGCTGAGAGCATGTTAGCGGAAGGTGAGCATATGACTTTGCTCTGTTGACTGTAATTCTGCAAAATGTTCCAGGTGAAGCAACTCCTCCAGCAACTAGTCAAACTATGGCAACCCTCTGCTGGATGGCGCGTTCCATGGCTGAACTTGGCGCAGAGCAGGCAGTTCACGGCTTATCTATCTGGGTTCGCCGGATTTACCATATGGACATGCCCTTCCTTGGAGCTATAGCGGAAATTGCAGCAGCCAGGTGGACTACATTTTTCATTTTTTGGAACTAATAATCCAACTTGTCTCTGCTATTTTGAAAAAAAAAGAAGTAATTGAAGTCGCTATGCTTGCATTATTTCAAGATTGATAATCTATATTCTTACAGATATGAGCGCTCATTAATACTGTTGCGCAAATGCATTGAAGACGAAACCTTGTCGGATACTCTTCGGGGAATGCTTAGGGATATAGTACGTTCCTGAATTTGTTCAACTTCTCAATTTACTAGAGATACTTTTTAAGCGTATTGATGTCCTTTCCCGTCTGCGACATCCACTTTTCCTTGACGCCTTGAATTGTCCCAGTGAATTTTCCTTGTGGAACGAAGCTGACAAGCTTGACGGACAAATGCCTTCCGGAATTGATATGGAATCTTTTACAAGGTGATCCGTTTG